TCGCTGGTCGTATCCACGGCCAATGAGCGCCACAGACAAGGGCAACTGGGTTTGATCCCTAAGAACAAAGAGATGAAGAAGCTTGATCTCTTTGGCAGAAAAATGTATTCAGCTACCAGCTTCCAATTGAGAGGGGCCAATCACCAGGCCCTACTTGGCCACTATGACTATAACATTATGTTTATAAAACGTTATAAAATGTTTTGATCGAACCAACATGTACAAGGTAATGGGCAATAACTAGCCATGTCAGGGGGAAGTAATTATGTCAGAGGGGCTGTACGTAACTTGTTTGTATCAGGGTATAAAAATGCATCTTAGAGGGAGTGTGTTTGTCTCGCCTAGTGAGGAACAGAAAGTTCTGCCGTTCAATGAGCTAATTCATTGTTATGGGCATACATGTATTAGTGGTCCGGTAGAGTGTACGGGATACTAGTACCGTGCTTCATCGACAATAAACCTGGCCTGGTGCTTTCATACCTTGACGGATCTTGTGATCATTGGGCGGTTTGCTCGAGGGCTGCTGTGCCAGCTGTCTGCGCAGAGCTGGGGCAGCACACAGGGAGAACACAGAGAAAAAACACATACGCAGCCGAACATCTGACCACACTGGTGAACCATGACCGCTGATTTGGTAAATAAGCAAGCTGTCCTCTGTAGGAATTGCGATCTAACATAACATAAAAAAACAAAGCTAGGAAACTCCCTTATCCCCTCCCTGCAAATCCCCACAAAGTTGGATGAAATTTGGACCTGCTGGATTACCAGCAGGAGAGGCCCATATGAATTTTAAAAAGACGAGGGCAAGACAGTGGCAAGGACTGCCTTCCAAGCAGCCTCAGACGTGGCGGACTCTGCAGCCAGGACTATGGCTTCAGCCATTTCCATGAGGCGCGTGTCTTGGCTGCAATCGTCTGGGGTGTTGGTGGAAGTAAAGGAGTCAATCCAGGACCTCCCCTTCAATGGCCTGGCACTGTTTTTGGAGCGGACAATGGATTATATGGCCCGAAAGATTCTAGGGCTACTTTGCACTCCCTGGACCTTTACACAACAGCGCCCGCAAGAAAGTAATTCAAACTGCAGCAGACCCACAGATTCAGGAGCCAGTCCCAATCAGAGCCCTTCTGTGAAAAGGCCAAGGTCTTTAAGCGCCGACAAGTCCAACTGCCAGCCTCCTCGGCTCACTCGAGCTCCACCAGCTGCATAACAAACAAGTATTTTGAGGGTGTGGTCGAGGGTGACCTTCTAACAGGTATCTTGGAAAACAAAAGGGGCGTTGGATCCAACTGTTTATTGCCCTACCTCCCTGCTTGGACTTCTATAAGATTAGACCAGTGGGTGCTCAGCACTGTGGCGGGGAGGTATACCCTCCAATTCCTTTCTATCCCTCCCTCCCACCCCCGCTCCCCGTCCCTCTTCAGGGACCCTACTCATGAGCATCTGCTCGCTCAGGAGGTGCAAGGCCTCCTGCAGGTGGGAGCTGTGAAGGAAGTTCCACAGCATTTGAGAGAGAAAGGGTTTTACTCATTCAAATTTTTTATTTTACACCCCATCCTCAACCTGCAAAGCCTCAACAAGTATCTCAAGAAGTTGAAGTTCAGCACGGTCTCCCTGGCCTCCATCGTTCCCCATCAATCTGGGAGACTGGTACACTGCCTTCGATCTGAAAGACGCTTACTTTCATATTTCAATATTTCACGGCCACAGAAGGTTCCTACATTTGTCATCGGGAACACCAGTTTGCAGTGCTCCCATTTGGCCTAGCGATGGCGCCAAGGATATTTACAAAGTGCATGGCAGTAGTCTCAGCCTACCTCAGATGTCAGCGTATCCAGATCTACCCGTACCTTGATGCCTGGCTCATCAAGGGCCGCTCTAGGCACCATGTCCAATGCAGTTTCATGACACTGCGAGCCACCTGTCAAGCACTGGGCTTGTTGATAAACGAACAAAATTGAACATTGGTACCGGTGCAGAGGATAGAGTTTATCGAAGTGGTCCTCAACTCTACCTAAGCCAGAGCGTTCCTGCCAGAAGCCAGGTTCAGGGCAATGTAAGATCTGATCGCCCAGGTCACTGCTCACCACAGCCTGAGTCTGTCTCAGGCTATTAGGGCACATGGTGACATGCACTTACGTTGTCCAGCACACGAGACTCTGGCTCCAACCTCTCCAGATGTGGCTGGTATCTGTCTGCTCCCCGGCCAGACCTCAACTGGACAAACTTCTCACGGTCCTGCCGCGGATACTCACCTCTCAGCAGTGGTGGTGCAACCCGAATCCATGGCCCACATTGTCCCTGATTTCAGATGCATCCAACTTCGGTTGGGGAGCGCACCTCGGTACACTCAGAACTCAGGAGCTATAGTCTCGAAAGGAGCTGTCGCTGCACATAAACATCAGAGAGCTCAGGGCCATCCACCTGGCTTGCGAATTGTTCCTTCCCCATCTGTGCAGTTGTGTAGTGCAGGTGCTGACAGACAACATGGCCTCCATGTTCTGTCAACAGACAGGGAGGAGCTCAATCATCAGCCTTTTGTCAGGAAGCTCTTCCTCTGTGAGACGTCTGTATCCAGCATGCTACCCACTTGGAAGCCTCACACCTCCCGGGTGTCCGGAACACGCTGGCGGATCGCCTCAGCAGGTCCTTCTTCTCTCACCTCGAGTGGTCCCTCCACTCGGAGGTCGTCAGGATGCTCTTCCAGAAGTGGGGAGCTCCCCAAGTGGACCTGTTCGCCACCAGACAAAACAGAAAATGTCACCAGTTCTGCTCTCTGCAAGGTCTCGACAGTGGCTCACTATCCAATGCCTTCCTCCTGTCTTGGTCAGGTGACCTGATGTATGCCTTCCCACCAGTCCCACTGATTGGCATGGCCCTCTTGAAGATCAAGAGGGACAAGGCACGAATCATTATGATCGCCCTAGCTTGGCCACGCCAGCATTGGTTCAGCATGCTCATGGACTTAGCGGTGGCAGCCCCGTGGGCACTTCCCAGCTGCCCAGACCTGCTCTCTCAGAATCACTGACAATTACTGCACCCAAACTTCATCTCTCTCCACCTCACAGGGGGGTTGCTGAGTGGCTGAATCGCAAGAAGCAAGTCTGCTCTAGTCAGGAGTAGCAGGTCCTCTTGGAAAGCAGAAAACCCTCTACCAGGGCGACATACCTGGCAAAGTGGAAGCGCCGCTTCAGCTGGGCATTGGAATGGAAGACCTAATTCCCCAGTGGGATCTCAACCCAGTCATCTCCAGACTCACTGGCTTTCCCTTCGAACCTCTGGCTTCCTGCTCTGTTTCACACTTGTCATGGAAGGTTGTGTTCCTTGTAGCTATTACCTCAGTGAGGTGAGTCTCCAAGGTTAAAGACCTGGTGTCAGAGCTCCCGTATGCGGTATTCTACAAGGACAAGGTCCAACTGCATCCCCATCCAGCATTCCTGTGCATGGTGTCGCAATTCCATGTCAACCAGGGTATCTTCCTCCCCATGTTCTGTTCAAAGCCTCACGCATCCAACGAGGAGAGGCATCTGCACACCCTAGATGTCAGGTGTGCCCTGGCTTTCTACCTGGAGCGCACCAAGCCCTTCCAGTGTCTTCTCAGAGGATTTCAGCCTGGATCACCACCTGCATCTGTATTTGCCATCTGTTATGCCCTCAGTTGGAGGCACAGGTGCAGGCATGGACCTATTGAAGAATTTCCAGTCCCGGGTGCACATTGCACATGCACGCCCACAGTAAATACCCATAGAGCAGTGGTCAGCAACCGGTTGATCGCGATCGACTAGTCAATCCTGGAGACTCTCCCAGTCGATTGCGATCTCCGGTGGTGCATCGGGTCTGCCACTAAGGCAGGCTCCCTTCCTGCCCCAGCCCCACGCCACTCCCAGAAGCGGCCAGCGGCCCAAAACGGCTCCGTGGCCTTGGGGTAAGTGGGGGGGTAGGAGTCTCCGCGCACTGCTCCTGCCTGCAAGCACCGCCCCGCAGCTCCCATTGGGAAACTGTGGCCAATAGCAACAGAGAGTCCTGTGGCACCTTTAAGACTAAACAGATGTATTGGAGCATAAGCTTTCATGGGTGAATGCATCTGACGAAGTGGGCATTCACCCACGAAAGCTTATGCTCCAATACATCTGTTAGTCTTAAAGGTGCCACAGGACTCTCTGTTGCTTTTTACAGATCCAGACTAACACGGCTACCCCTCTGATACTTGTGGCCAATGGGAGCTGTGGGGGCGGTCCCTGCAGAGAGGGGCAGCGTGCAGACTACGTGCCCCCTCCCGAGGGGCCGCAAGGGCGCGTTGGCCCATTCCAGGAGCGGGGTGGGGCCGGGACCACCCGAGGTAAGTGCCGCCCCCTTCAAGGGCAGGTTCTGAATGGCTCTGCACCATTAAGACCAGGAGTAGCATAAGTACAGCAGGACTAGCATTTGTCTTCCACCACCCAACCTGCAGCCTCCCAGAGCCAGCAGCCCGTGTCCCCTCATGCACCCCAAGCTCCTGCCCCAGCCCTGAGCCCCCTCCCAGAGCCAGCACCCCATACTCCCTCCTGCACCCCAACACTCTTCCCCAGCCCGGACCCCCCCCCCGCACCCAAACTCCCTCCCAGAGCTTGCACCCCTCATGCCCTCCTGCACCCCAATCCTCTGCCCCAGGCTCAGCCCAGAGACCCCTCCCACACTGCGAACCCCTTGACCCCAGCCCAGAGCCCACACCCCCTCCCGAACCCCACCCCGCTGCCCTAGCGCGCTGAAAGTGAGTGAGGGTGGGGGAGAGCGAGCAGGGGGGGTGGAGTGGAGTGAGCGCGGAAGGGGCGGGGTAGATCCTGGGTTGCCCTTAAATTCAAAAAGTGATCTTGGGCGTGTAAAGGTTGGAGACCGCTGCCATAGAGACAACACATCTTGCAGAACTCCAGTTACTATAAGTAACCTTTCTTTCAACAACGAGGCCATCCTACAGCCCTAGTCCCTGTTCTGATTTTAGATATATTTTGAAAAATATATTTCAGAGAAGTACCTCCACATCCACTCCAGAGCAGCAAGTCAAGCTAGAAGACATCCTTCCGTTGGCATTCACCCGCCTTTGTGAACCTAAGGAAGCTTCATACAGCCTGATCAAAAAATATGTGTCTCAGTATTACCCCAAACTCAAGGTGGATGTAAGGTAGGTGCAGGTGGTACATATTGGTAATGGGTGTCTCTATCACTGTTTTGAAACACTAATTTCCGTTGGTATTCCCTCTTCTGCTCCTTTAAGGAGACTGGCATTTTTAGCTCAGCATTGTAATATCCTTCTAGAAGCTGAGAATAAAATGCTTTTTCCTGTTGCTTTTTTTTTTTCTCTGTGACCCATATGAAACTCCTGATCCCTAAGGTTGCATTGTTCATATTGCACATCCACCAATAACATAAATGTAATCCCTTTAGTTTTTGGGATATGAATATTTACAGGTTTCCTCTTGGCATCTTATTCCACTTCCTTTTTTATGCTTTAAAGGGCACACAGCCTGCCAGCTAGTTCACCCATGTGGATGGTTTCAAAAAATGTGATGTTATGTACAGTCTTTTAATTGGTGAACGTAAAGAGCCTTCTGTCTATTGACTGATTGGTGAGTAAGTCACCCACCTTGTCCTGTCTACAAATTTGCTTTACAGTTGTTTCAATTTAAAAGTTTGACTCATGAAACTTGATCTTTTCTGGATAAACTGTAGAACCAGAAGACAATGTCAATTCACCTTTAAATAATGTCCATTACTCCTTGCTCATGTCACTTGCTGATAGTTACTCTCATGCCCTGGGTAAAGTGTCATCTCTCCACCTCCCCTTTAAAGCTATATTGCCCATCTTTTTCAGACCCCAGCTGTTGAAGAATGCCCTGCAGAGAGCAGTAGAGAAGGGCCAGTTAGAGCAGATCACAGGCAAAGGAGCTTCTGGAACATTCCAGGTCAGAGGCCAGAGTTAGTCTTACTTCACCTTCTGTTGTTGTTTATACCATACATAATCCTTCTATTTTCTCCCCCATCTGATTTTATTGGGCTGCAACCTTCTCTGGCAGCCTATCAAGTAGGATTCACATGCAACAGTTCTCAGATTGTGGAATATTAGGATTCTTAGGTTGGTCTACATTTTTGGAGCAGGACACCTAGCTATTCTTGCTGAGATTTATAGTCTGTTTGTTGTCAGTAGTGCTCCACATGCTGCTTCAGCTCTGACTCACTAGAGTGATGAGGCAGGATGGTGGGGTAAGTGTTTGGTTTGGGTTTTTTTTAACATAAATACTTTTGCTAGGTGTGTGCATGTGTCCCACTCATGGCAGAGGCATAAGGAAGTCTAAAGCCAATGGCTGTCTGGTCTGTGGGATGGAGGAAGGTCATGGCATGTTAATTTGCCTGTGGTGTTAGTTTCTTCAGCTCAATATAAATCCTAGGACTGGAAGGGACCTCGAGAGGTCATCTAGTCCAGTCCCCTGCACACCGTACAGTACTAAGTATATTAAAAATATATCTCCTGTGTATCTTGGAGATGGGACAGTGGCTCCAATAAACAGCATTTCTGGCCAATTGACTAAAAAATCTGTCTTCTCCTTGTGGGTGGGAAGGAAGTATTCCCTGTGCAATGTTTTAATGTAACGTTTTAATTCCCTGTCCAACGTTTTAATGTAGCTCCTGTGCTAATGCAGGAGCCCCGGCTCACCTGGTGCAGAGGAATCTTGTCCCGAGCTGGTTTGGGAGAATTTTGTCTTGATTGCTTTTCTCTTCCTTCTTGGAAAATAGCTGAAGAAATCAGGGGAGAAGCCCCTACTTGGTGGGAGTCTGATGGAAGATGCCATCCTGTCTGCTATTGCTGCCATGAATGAACCGAAGACTTGCTCCACCACAGCTCTGAAGAAGTATGTCCTGGAGAACCACCCAGGGACCAACTCCAACTTCCAGGGTATGACTCCAAATCTTCATAGCTGTTAGTTTCACAGAGACTAAGCGAGGAGTCCCAAAAGCCACAGAATTCTCTATATTCCCTGTTAAAAATGTAACTGTTTTACTTACCAGGGCCAGGCAGCTGCTTAGCACTATCCTGTGTGAAAGAAGCACACTACAGAGATTCCCAGGATTTTAAAGTCCCATTATTTCCATTGAGTTCCAAGGCTTATAGCAGCCTGGTCCATCTGAACCATAATGGATTCTTGTCATCTTGCTCTAAAGCCCATTTCTAGGGGAGGAGAATAGTTTATTAAAGCAGTCTATTAGTCTAGATAGTCCATTCTTATTTGTCTTAAGCCAGTTGAATTGATCTTTTTTGACAAAGAGTCCTGTGGCACCTTATAGACTAACAGACGTATTGGAGCATAAGCTTTCTTGGGTGAATACCCACTTCGTCAGATGAATGTAGTGGAAATTTCCAGAGGCAGGTATAAATATGCAGGCAAGAATCAGTCTAGATTATACCTGCCTCTGGAAATTTCCACTACGTTCATCTGACAAAGTGGGTATTCACCCACGAAAGTTTATGCTCCAATACGTCTGTTAGTCTATAAGGTGCCACAGGATTCTTCGTCTAGATCTGTAAAAAGCGACAAACACGGCTACCCCCTGATACGTGATCTTTTTTGTTACTTCTGGAAAAATTCTCAGAGACTATATAGCTCAACAAAATAAATTCAGTTCCAAATTTACTTCCTACCCGGGGGTGTTGCACAATCCTAGCCCTTGAAGCACCCATGCTTCACCTTGAGCAGTTTGCTTGTTTGTGCTACCCCCACTTCTCCATATTTTATAATCTTAAGTCAGATAGATAACTGCTTGAGGCAGAGACTGTGTGTTAATTGTACTTGAAAGAAGCATAGCACATCTTGATTGCCAAAAACAGTATAAATATCTTTCCATGGGATATTATAATTTGATTGTGACTTGTAAACCATTCTGTATTAAGAGTAGTGGTGATGCCTTAGGGACTCAAAGGTAGATTTCTTTTCTAACCGTTCACTTGCAGAGGAACTACAATATGTGGTGTTGATCTGAGCACTTCTGGACAGTGTGATTGTTTGACCTGTGCTGGCAGTCATATGAAGCAGATGTCAACTCACTGCCAGACCCAGAAGCAAATCTCCAGACACATTAGCATTTTTGGTTCTTTGTTTCAAAATGTTTGTGATGCTTGGTGTCTTCCTGTAATGCTTACAGGAGACAGGGCCAGAGATAGCCAATCCCCTTTTGCCCTCATTACTAGGCCCTTTATGGATCAGAGAGCCCTGAATCAAAGATTTGATTATGCTGATGCAGATGGGGAGTACAAGATGGGCTAAGGCTACTGTTCTTGTCATTCAGAGATCATGATGTCAGGTTCTTTTTCAAGTAGTGTCCTATGGGTGTTCCACTGTAGGTATGCTTGCGTCCTGTGCTGCTGATCCGTGAACAATCCACTGCCTTTTCAGTTCCTTCTTTCCATCTGTGGCGGTCGCTGGAACACTCATATCTCTTGCTCAGCAAGTGATCCTGGTAGTGGTAGTCTTCCTGTAAATAGATTGTAGATAAGTGTAAATAGTTAGTTAGCATAAGTATAGTAGTAGTTAGTTTTCTGGTAAACACCTGCCCTGTGAGGCTTTCCCACCTGAGCCCCAGGACATGCTTCGGTCCCAGGGCTTCAAATTGTGTGGCGTGCCGCAAGTACATGCCAGTTAGTGACCCTCACAAGAGCTGTTTAAAGTGCCTCAGAATGGGTCATATCCAAGATGAGTGCAGATCTGTAGGAACTTCAAACCAAAAAAGAGAGAGACGATCAATTAAAATTCCTACTTATGGAGGCAGCACTCCATCCCACTTCAGAGTGGCAACCTAATCCAGCACTGAGTGCTTCCTCTACCAGGAGCACGTCGACGGCCATTCAGAACACCCAGCATAGCATGGGCTCCCCGGCGCCGGCCTCCTCCCGACACTGGTATGCTTCTTCGGCACCCAAGAAGTCAGCGACAATTACACAGTACCTTTTGGGAAACAAAGTCTGAACGAGGGCATTCCCCCTGGAGAAACATTATGGAGAGAGTGCGATCTGTGGTGGTCCACTCTCAATTGGGTGCATTTCAAGTGGCTCCGTTGACTCCGGCCCCGGGAAGGGACACATCGAATCCAATACAGAGGGACTTCCACGTAGGGTGAACCAAGGAGGGGACACACCCCTGGCAGCAATATTGACGCAGAGGTGTACAAGGCAGTGCAGAACCTCCTAACTCTCCCAGCACCACCTTCCTTGCAGGCCTAGGTTCAGGGGAAAAGTCAGGCTCCGCAGGGGCCGGCCCAAAGAGGGCAAGCGCCAGTCCTGGGGCAAGCCCACGATAATGGCAAGGCACCGGCCCCCATCCCGCTCATAGTCCAGAGACTCAGCACCAAGGCCACGCTCACCGCACCGGTGCCACATCTCCATCGCGGCAGGATTATTTGGCGCCATGAGGCATTGCCCTGGTTGCCTAGAAGCGGGTCCTCAGTCTCCGAATTGCAGGTGGAATCATATGCCTTGTGAGGGACTGGACCCCAGGCAAATCAGAGACTCCGCATTGATATGGCCTCAGTGGATGATGTGGACCCCTTGGCTGCACATGGTTCAGGGCTCCCATGGGGGACATTCATTCTCTGCACTCTCTGAGACGAGGGCGTCTCCATCGGAAAGAGGATCTGTTCCTGGTGCAGAAATCAGGGACCCTCCTGCCACACTGGCAGGAGACCCGCCAGGGCCAGAGGAGGTACAGGCACCGGTGGCAGTCCAAGCCACTTTCTCATCTTCTCCTGACAAAGTATTGATGGGTATGGCCATAGCCCCGATGCAGGATGACACCAGGAGCTCCTGCGTCAGATGGCTCAGAACCTTAACTTCCAGGTGGAGGAGATTGCTGAGTCAGCCCTGGCTTTGGTAGACATTTTGACTTCTTCAGGGCCAGCAAGAGTTGCCTTGCCCCTGAACAAGGCCATCCTGCAGCCTATAAGGGCATTGTGGCAGACCCCGGCCTCTCTCCAGCCTATGGCCAAACAGGTGGAGAAGTAGTATTTCATCTCCCATAAGGATTATGAACATCTGTACACTCATCCTCCACTGGGCTCCTTGGTTGTCGCTGTGGCCAACAAGAAGGGTCCATCACGAAGGCTAAAGAGGCCAAAAAGCTGGACCTCCTTGGGAGGAAAGTTTACTCCACGGGGGCCTCCAGCTAAGAATCGCGAGTCACCAGGCTCTATTTAGTCACTACAATTTTAATTCCTGGTCTGTGATCCAGAAATTCAAAGAGCTCCTGCCATCTGAATAGGGCAGAGTTTACAGCCATGGCAGAAGAGGGCAGGGCCATAGCCTTCCAAGTGGTCCTAGACGCCGCAGATGCGGCAGCCTAGATGATGGCCACCGGAGTTGTAATGAGGAAAAGTTCCTGGTTTCTGTTGTCGGGCCTCCCCTATGAAGTCTAGCAGACAGTCCAGGACCTCCTGTTCAAAGGGTGATCCTTCCTTATTTTCTGAACAAACAGATGCCTGGCTGCATAGCCTAAAAGAAATCATTGGGCCTCCACAGTCTGACCCCATCCCGGAAATACTATAAGTTGCAGCCCATGGGCTGTTTTTTACCAGTCCCACCAGAAGCAAGACTTCTAGCAGAGGAGGAATAGGGTTTCAGGAAAAGACAGGCCCCTCACTCCTCTGCAGCCTCAACATCTGCACCCGCGAAACAGCCATCAGGCAATAAGCAAAACTTTTGAGGGTGCGCCCGAAGATGGTGCACCAGCCCAGAACCTGGATCTTACCCCTATGTTTGTGGACCGTTTGTCCTACTTTTATCAGGCGTGGGGCAACATCACACAGTGCTTTGCATAGTAGTAGTGTGATACACCATGCAGTTGTTTTTTTTTCTCCCCTCCTTCCAACCCCTCTACCCCATCCCTCTTCAGGGACCCTTCTCATGAAAATCTCCTGGCCCAGGAGGTGCAGTCACTCCTAAGGGTGGGGACAGTGAAGGAGGTTCCCATGGAGCTAAGAGGTAAGGGGTTTATTCCTGCTACTTCCTGATCCCAAAGTCCCAACAGGGATCTCAGGCCTATCCTAGACCTCAGAAACCTCAACAAGTTCTTAAAGAAATTCAAGTTCCACATGGTCTCCCTGGCCTCGATTATTCCTTCCCAAGATCCGGGGGACTGGTATGCCGCCCTCAACCTAAAAGACGTATACTTCCATATAGCTATCTTCCGAGGGAACAGAAGATACCTTTGGTTTGTGGTAAACCATAACCACTATCAATCAGTTCAAGTTCTACCCTTCGGCTCCAAGAGTTTTCCCAAAAATGCATGGTGGTGGTGGCAGCCTTCCTCAGGAGGAGAGGGGTGCAGGTCTATCATTATCTGGACGACTGGTGGGTAAGCAGTTGGTCCAAGGTACTAGTGGAACAACATGTGGACTTCATACTGTCTACTTTCAAGAGCCTGGGACTTGATCAGCGAACAGAAGTCCACCTTCATGCCCGTCCAAAAGATAGAATTCATAGGAGCAGTCCTCGAGGTGAATTGGGCAAGGCCTCACTACTGCAGTCAGGGCCATCTCAGCTCTTATACAAAGCCTGAAAGTGTGCCCCACCACCACAACAAAGAACTGTCTAAAGCTCCTGGGGAATATGGCCTTTTGCACATATGTGGTGCAGCATGCATGTCTCAGACTCCACCCTCTCCAACTGTGACTGGCATCAGTATACATACCAGGTCGACACCTGCTAGACAGAGTGGTTACTCTTCCTCTGATGAGACTCAAAGCCCTTCAGTGGTGGCAGGATAAAGGCATAGTGTGTGCTGATGTTCCCTTTGCAAGACCCACACCTTCAGTAGAACTGGTCACAGATGCCTCAGTTATGGGGTGGGGACCCCAGCTGGGGCCTCCCAGGACACAGGGTCTCTGGACACCAGAGGAGTTACACGAGCA